GTGTGGTTATACTAACCTACATATGTTTTCATGTTAATAAATTAAACTACATGCTCACTGGGTTAATTTCCCTACTGTAATTCTACAGGTACAGAGACTGTTCCCTTATGGTTTTGAAAACTGAAAGGAAAAAATACAGCTGAGTAAAATCTCTACTTCTATGCCTTCCAGGGAAACTTTTATAAATATCTCAAAGTTGATAAGGCTAAAAGAATGGCTAGAGTGCTTACTGGCTCTGTTGCAGTTACTAAAAAAACCTTTTGTGGTGTAAACAGACATCTGTTATGCCCCACTCATGTATTAATTCATGCCCACACATGTAATGTTCTTCTCCAGCATGTAAACCTCTTCATGTAACTGTAATAATGCAATAAACAAAACTGGGGTCAAAAACCTGGAGATTGATCAGATGCCACATTATTCTATCTAAAACGTTACAATATTTGAAATTTTAAAAATGCAGTCCTGGAAGACATTGAGTACTGCAGCCTAACCAACGTAACTGCAAAATGCATGAGTAAAATGAAGGGTGTGAGTAGTGCAGCTGCAGTTATGGGTTTATGTCTATGCTTGAAGCTAAGAATATGCTCAAATCTTTTTCTCTGGACTGAGCTACAGTGCTCTACTGCTTGTAGGGACTGACTGTTTTCATTGYTGTCTTCATCCATAAAGCTTCTGTCTTGCTTGCTCATGTGTGTTTACATAGTTTGCACAATTTTGTTGGAGAGGTGCTGGAATTTATCAGAGCCCACAGTAAAAAGGATCAGGACTTCCAGGTACTGACTTTTGAGACAGTGTAAATATTTGAAATAATCTCAGATGGCTTGTAATCTGTAGTAGTGCACAAATGAGTGGAATTTTTGTATGGCTTGAATCTTCAGGGCCACAGTCTTGCCATTTGTGCACCTATATAACCCATATGACTAGGCCTCCTTCCCAAAATTCACATTTGTTAAAAGATTTGACATTTGGCTAGTTAACTGCAAAAGCATTACTTTTTCTGATGTAGTGCTGAAGACTTCTGACCACTAGAGTAATGCTTCCTGTGCCTCCGGGACTTCCTGAGAGGAATGAAAATCTGTRCAGCCTCTTAACATTTCAACTTAAATATGAACCTTAATTTTAGGCTTTTGCAGGAAATCTAAATAATGAATTGGTTACATTTCCACTGGGGTTTCAGTAAGTAAATTTTATCAAACAAGTATAAAAGGTCATTCTAGCTGATTAAYAAATAATAGTAGCTGAACCAATGAAATGTCTGCTTTCTCCTCTTTGGTATTTGCCACATACTGTAAAGATCTYCTAATTCTTCCATGTAAATATTTTCCATATGACCTGCTGTGTTTTATCAAAAAAGTTTCCATGTATTATTTGGAAGGAGGGGGAAAAGGAGCAGGAGTAAAGAAGAAAAAGAATATATTAAAATTATGTCAGAATTCAAAAATTATSTTAAATATTACATGACATATCAGTTTGCATGTGTTTATGTAGCTGCTCTCCTTGAGAGTCTTGACATTACCCGAAGTTCTTAGCGGACATCATTTTTCCAAYCATCTGAAGGCTGTGTTATGGGGAGTTAACAGACTTAACTTTCATTTCAAGGTTAAAAAAAGTCAAATAGAAATATAAATGTGTTTTCTTCATTTTGCACCAACACAGTGGTCATTTTGACAGTCCCTAAAAGTATAAAACTGGAAAACTGATCATAACCCCCATTCCCCCTATCCCTGAATTGCTGTGGAGGAGAGAAGGTAAAGTTCATGAAGGAGGGGGAGAGAGGGTGTTTTTAAGATTTATTTTACTTCTTACTATACTGCTTTGATTCTGGTAGTAATAAATTCAATTAATATCCTCAACTCTAATCTCTTCTACCCGAGACAGTATATTTCCCCAACTCTAATCTCTTTTATCCAAGAAAGTATTTGGTGAGTGATCTCTCCTGGTTCTTATCCCAATCCATGAAYCCTTACTTAGTTGTAGCTTCTGTCCCCTGTCCAGATGCAGAGAGGAGTAATAGAGTGGCTTTGGTGAATGCCTGGTGTCCAGCCAGGGTCAACCCACTACACACTGGTACTAGAAAACTTACATCTTTTATTTGTAAACATCTGGGGCGACTAGAATGGCTCCAAAAACCTTAAGAGACATGGGACTGATATGCTGAAGCTCTGACCTCACTTGCCAGTTAGATTCAGTAGGACAACCAATGCTGAAAGCTGTTTGGTGTAATGAAGACAAGGCTGCTGCCAGGATGTCTCCATATGAGGACTGAAGCACTATTTAGTCCATATTTGCTGACTTTTGGTGTAATCTCCAAGGATTCTTTAKTGCCCTGGCTTTCTGGAAAAGAGATGGAAAAGCAAAAATCCCACATAGGGACATGTTATTACAGACCATCTTGCCATTTGTTAAGTTGCCTGATGCGTTTCCATAGATTTAAATATCTAGCAGGACACAGARACTGCACATAGGCTTAAATTTTCTTCTCCCTTTATTTATATTGGACTAGTAGGTCATTGCTTTACTCCAACTATGATAGCCCTGGCTAGTCTTTCAATAACTCAAAGAGAACTATATGGGCTCTGCTGTTGCAGCTTATGATTTTTATCCATGCATCTCCTTCTTATAATGTAATTAGCTGTTCAACAAAAATCCTTTTGGCTCTGCTGGGGCTTTGAGGTCTTTTGAGCAGAAAGTGATTAGCAATGAGTTTTCTTAAGGTTCTTTGTGCCCATTCATTCAACAATCAATGAAGTTAACTTGAATTCTGTTGTCATACCTCATACTGCCTGATGGTTCTCATCATCAAATCACTTCGGCTCTCACTGGGGCCACTTTCTCTGATTGCTCTCAACCTCAGCTTTTCTTCCCATCCAGGACTGTTTGTCCTCCTCCAGCTATATCCTTACAGTTAATGAGTCTTCTCATTCATTCAGTCTGTCTCCTTGCAAGTATTTTTAGACTGTGATCATCTCCCTTGAGTTGGCTATTTCTTAAGATAAATGCTATTTCACGTCATCTTTTCTCCTATGTTCCCTGTGTCTTATTACTTGAGACTGTTATGTTTTAACTCTATATCCTCTGAGATATCTAATGAAGACCTTTTGGCATGCAGGCCTTCAGAGCCTCCCAGTAGTGCAGTATGAACAGGAACACCAYCTACTACTTACTTTGTATGAGATTCTTACTATATGTAAGAACTGACTTCTGGTTTACTTCYCAGTTACATCCTCTAATTTTCTCTATAGTCCCATTGCAAAGACTTCTGAGTCTTTATAGGTGACACCATTTTTTCAGGTAGTCACACTCAAAATAGACAAGCCACTAAGCAAAGTCTGTGGTTTCTGTGCAAGGTCTTTAGCAACAGGGAGCTTTTACTTCAGCCATAACATTATCAGAGAAGAAATCTGGTGGTCATCTGATTTTCCAAAGCCACAGAAGCCTAAGTGTTTTATTTTTAAAACCTTTGCAAGTATTTAGACATTGTCAAGAAATCATGTTCCAAAATATATTTGCTATTGCAGCTGCTATGTAATGAAATGCAAATAGTAAGTAATGACTCTTTAAACACAGAAGATGAGAAGCTTTTATTATTTATCCTTAGAAAACTTTAGAGTCATTGAACAGATTTAGAATCTGTGACATTGCCATTGAGCTCAGCCTCCATTTACTAAATCATAGCTAAGAGCAGAGGTTCTGTTCGCAGTTATTGAGCCCAGTTATATTTTCTTGCCAAGGATTTCTATAGATATAGAAAGGTATGACAAGGAAGGGACATCAGGGCAGCTGACTAATTTAAAAAATACTCTTAAGTGAGCAGAACCACTACCCCAAAAAGGGCAGTCTGCACACTTGGGAATGAGCAGAGAACTAAGCCAATATACAGGGTCAGTCTAATGTTACATATTTATAGTTCGTTCCGTTCCAGAGGACTGTAATAGTAAAGGCTGTATGTATCCATCTGCAAGTCCCACCATGACTGCTGACATCCAGTAGTTTGGTGCAAATGAACCATTTAGCTGCACAAAATGGTGATGCAGCAATTTCCAGCAAGGAACCCAGGTGTCTGACAGGAGGAGTATTTGCATGACTGTGCTGCAGTGACTCAAACTGGGATCTATCCGTGCTTCTGCAAGGACTGAAATTTTGTGGTTAGGGCAGACAGCTGTAACCCTGATACAGGGGCTGGGCATGATCCAGTCTTGATGTGAAAAGGCAACAGGCTTCACAGGCAACTAATGTTGTACTAGATGGATTCTGTCCTTGYAGAGTGGCCCACTGAAACTCCGAGTTGTTTGCCCTTCTCAGTGTGCAGCCCCAAGGAGCTTTACAGCTCAAGGCACTGTGGCAGCAGATGCCAAGTGCCATGAGCTGCCCCAGACTGCAGTGTCCCTCAAAAGCCAAAAGCAGAGGGCAAAGATGTCAAACAATAATTTCTGCTGGTGGGAGGTAGCTTCTGGCTGAAATGTTGAAAGCCTGTTGTCTTTAAGTCTACGTAAGTGGAGAAGTTGGATCAGTGAGTCTGTGGAATAAGAATAATCCTTCCAAGGCARAGTGTATGGAATGAGACTCTGACTCTGGTTCCAGTGTCTAGGTGACTGCTCACCTTGACACCATTTGCCAGGAAGGAATAATTTATGTTGAGATGCTGTTTGTGGGTGATTAATAACTCAAACCCACAGCTYTGAGTTGACAAGCTACGAGCTTGGTAGTGTAATTTATAAATAGGAATTAGAACAGGTCTTCAAACTGGTCATTAGATACATTTTTAGATTGGTCATTATATTAAAGTAGGGAGGATGAAAGGACTTGAAAAAATCACATGATGAATTATTGGCAAAGCCAATAAACAAATCCTAATTTCTTCCTTTGACATGTCCGTGTGTATGCTGTAACAAATGTAGAGAGACAGCTAATGACAGCTAACTGTCAAAAAGCACAATACAGCTCATGTAAAAAATCAGAACAGCTTTTATTGTTCACTGTTAGAGAAAATACAGCTTATAACACAAGGAAACAATGGTGTGTTCATGCGAACACACGCAATGTGGAAGGATGTATATCCTGCATGTTTTAGTTATCCRGCTAAGGGTTTTTCCAGTATATTTTCAAGGTCACTCAGCTCATCCCAATAGACTTTGCTATTGATTCAAACATGTACTCAAGTGTAAAGCAGTCAAAGATGGTTACAWAGTCTACAGGAACAAGTGGCTCCATTCTGGCTCGTGAGAAACACAGGGATGAAAGCAAGGTGCATTCTGCTACTAGGAATGCACCAAGAGCATTTCTGAGGAAGAAACATTTTTCACGACTTGTCAGCATACTCCCCTATTAAAGAGCCTATTAAAGAGAAGCAATGGATTCCTAACCAGCCCACAGAAGCTGATGCAGTTTGCCAAAACAGAGGCTGCTCGTTGCAGCTGCTGGGGAATCCAGTGCTATGATCCCGGTAGAGATGTCATGGTATCCTTTCTTAAGGCACCTATAAGCATAGGATCTCAGCACTGATCTTATGGGCTGTTGCTGCAGCTAAAAACCAGCTGACACATTAAGTTGCTTAATCCCTGTAGTAATTGCATTAACATCCTTAATGGAGGTATAACATGGATGAATTTATCCCTCTGCAACAATGTGAGGGAATAGCCCTGTAACTACAGTGTGGCAGGGATGTCTGACAAGAACATTTTTCTGTTTGTTTTAGTGCAAAATGAAGTGTCCTCATGGGCTGTAAAGCCTCCCTGTCTTCTGGGATTTTGAACCCTTCACAGCACTAATGGTGCAGGTGTCCCCTGTGAGAGGGTGATGTATCAGGGCTCTGACACAGCAGCAATGCTCTTGGCACCCTCCCAATTGTTTGCTGCATGGCCACATTTCCTTCTGTCTCTCTCACAGGTATGCATAGCCTGCCTCATCACACAGCTTCTCAAACACAGCATTTTCATTCACCTTTGTGGTTTCCTCTCCTTGTCTCTCCATCTGATCATGATTTATYTGCTTGCTGCTCCCTGTCAGAAGGGCAGCTTTGCCTGGACTCTTATTGGACAGAGGACTGCTAAAAATAAGTAGCAGAGCTACAGTCTTGACATGTCATTGTGTAGGGAACAGATCAAGAACAGAAATGAGAAAAACTCAATTTGTTTTTGTTTTCCTCCTGATTTTCTAGCCATGGAGACAAGGGTTACCTGATGTATTAACCATGTGCACAGCCTGTTCCTCGGACAGCTTGATTGCATTGCAGTTCTGTCATTAAGGGCTTCTCAGTATTGTGAATCAAGAATCATACCCTGAGTTGGAAGGGACCACAAGGATCACTGAAATCCAGCTCTTTGCTCTGCACATGGYAATCCCAAGAATCACACCATGTACCTGAGATCATTGTCCCAACACTTCTGAAATGATGCTCTCGTGAAGGTACCTCAAGTATGTAACAGCCAAAAAGTCACCCCACAAAACCCTCCCAAGGATTAGACACCATTTTTACAGACTACTACAACAGCCCAGGCTCCTGCTGAGGTTTATTAATACTATATAGGGTGACCAATGGGGCTRGGGACTGAAAGAATCAGACAGGAAGCCACTGACTAATTTTTCTGCTAGTTCAAAGACTATTGCCACATATGCAGGTGCAGTGATGTGACTACTAAGCTGCAGTATCTCATCTACATGGTTTATGATTTCCATGTTAATATGCTAATTTTATTCTGTTTGATAGCCCATCCTTTCCTCCCACAGCGGCTGCAATCCCAAGAGATGGAGTAGCCCAGGTCCGTAGTGATCCAGGAGACAGTGGGAGAGACCAGGGAAGGTGTTGTGTGCGTGGGATGCACACACATGCASGGGGATTTTATTTCTCTTTCTGCCTATGGTAGTTACTCTCCACATTCAGCACAGGGATGAGAAGTCCTAGCAGCCACTTCTTGCCAAAGACTTCTTGCAGGTTCTCCCTCCAGGGCCGGGCTCTTACCACCATTCCTTTCCGCACCTGGTACCGTGTCTGCCCACGCAGGATCAGCAGCATCTGGTGGCAGCAGAAGCCGGCGCAGGCCAGTCCAATCCCAAGCCAGAGGTAGAGCATGAGGATGACAAACATCTCAGAGCTAAGAAGAGCTCCTGCAAACCAAGAGTTGGGAGGAGGAAGGACAACAAAAGAAAGAGTTGGATACACCTCACAGTGTGATACAGCCCCAAGAACCAACAAGCCACCTGTTTCCTCTGGCCACAAGTAGAACAAGACAGGCTGGTTGCTCTAACTATATTAAATTATTTCCTTCATAGTGTCTGATGCAGTGGGCCTGCTGAGGAAATACTAAAATGATAATGGTCTCTGTAATATCTCCTTTTGCTTATATGAGGATCTAGATTACAGCGACAAATTCAGCCAGAAGTAAAGCATGTCTTTGAGACTCCAGCACTATTTTGATGAAYGTTTAATTTATTTAAGGATTTACCTGCTTCTCACTGTAAATCTAAAATTTCTACGATTTTGAAAAGACAAGTGGATCCTACAGCATGTAGATCCTTCCAGAAGCCTTACTGTTTGTATTAACACCAGGCAGAAAGATTTGAGATTTCTCTCCCTTTTTCTCCCTCTCTACTATATGAGTATGTGTGTATATATACATATATACACACACACTATATATGTACAATGTTTAAAAGGAAAGATAAATTAATAATGACTTTCCTACCTTTGGGGAAAGGAAGTTTTCATGTCAATGCAAGAAAGAAACAGAAACCTTTCTAAAATGCARTCCAAATTCCTTTTATTAGTTGCTGCTAGAACACTCAAAATACTTTGAAAGTCTGAAGCTCCCAATTCAGCTGGGGGGTTTTTAATATATATTTATGATGAATAAAAATGAATGATGAATAAAAATATTCTATAGGCCCTTTCCTCTACAATGATTTCAGAAGTCCTTCTGGAAAATATTAGTATAACAGCAGGTGTCACTGAGTGACCTTTCCATGTGTAAGCAGCTCTAAACCCATTAATATAATATTCTCTGTGCGCCCATATGATGTTTATGCACGTAGTTTCTGTATATGGGTATATTATTAAAAATATTTACACACAAGCACACAAAGGAAATGAAATGTGTGTCAATAATGGTATAAATAGCTGATATCTTTCCACTGGTTCCTGAAARTTTTAGAAATAAAAGAGCTCTCACATGCTCCTGTTCCACTAGAAGACTGTGGACCCTACAGGAGCAACCGTGGACCCTACAAGAGCAATTGCAGTAGAGCAGGGTTTACAAGGACATTAGAGGTGTGCTGCCGAAAAGAGGTACATGGGTGCTTCAGGTTTTAAATTCAGTACAAGTGTCACTGGATATGCATCTCTTGCTTCCCTTACACAGAAGGCTGGATTAGGTTGTATCATCTGGTTCTGCAATCTGTGAATCCCATCTCTTCCACCTGGCAGTGCTATAAGTGAGAGATTGGGGCAGGCTCCTCTGAGGATAATTTGTAAAGACACTGACTACAGCCTCAAGCTTTCAGAGACTGTCCTCACTTGAAAAAGGTGCAGGAGTCATTCGGTTTTCTTCCTAAATGCAATGTCATCTTTCCCTTCTTATTAGATCCCATTCAGCTCAGTGGGCTCCGTATGCAACACCGCAAGAGAAGATCAAGCCCCTTAGGATAATGACAAATCCTCATACCAATTCTGTCAGAGTAACTTAATCTATCAGGTAGGAAGCTCAGAGCCAAATATTGGATTTTCTGTCCCTCTTTTACTGGACTAGAGTGTTTGTTCTTTTCTACAGCTAATACCAAGATGGGATATGGAGAGAGACATTTTCTTTAGACCCTTAGCAAGGTGGCAAGAAACTTTATTTATATAACCTGCTGAAATTCAATATCCAGAAAGTAATTACCCCTGTTTCCTCTTGAAAATATTAAACATCTCTGAGCCATCTTTTCCATATACATGGGGGTTTTTTTATGTTTTCTTCAGGCTACTGACATACAGCATTTTCTATAATTTCTTTTGTGGGTCCAATCTGATCTGGTTTTAAAATAGTGCTCTCCATTTGTCCCTCACCACCAGAGTCTCTTTTAGTCTTGCATTCTTTTTTGCTCTAAGTGACCCAATGTGATCTCAAGCTTATATTGCCGTATATTATCCATGCCAGAAAAGCTGTGTCGGAGGCTGCATTTACAGACTTTGGGTCAGATGCTGAAATCCATGCCTGAGTACAGTTTGGGCAGAATGAGCCAGCTGAAAACTTTCCCAGCATGAAATCAGGGAACACTTAGTTGACATAAGACCAGCAGATTCACCCTTCATCCTCCTTGGCTATTTCTGCAGTACAGTGGGCATGATGAAAAAGACAAAAGATAAAGTTTTTTTCCTTGCTATTGCAGTTCTCTGTATCATACAACAACCCTTAAGTAATAGTTACATTAGATAAAAATACTGTGTGAGCAACCCTTTCAGGTAACTGTTCAAGACAATGTTTTTCTTTCCTGAAATGGAGGTTAAATGTGCTGGTAAAAACCCAGTAGGCCCTTCCTCCCAAGCAGTCAAGACACCACTTGCCTGTTTSTTGCTGTGTGAGGCAGCAGTTCTCATCTCAGCGGAACCAGAGCTTAGGTGGGAGCTGCTGGGAGCTGCTGCCTCTCAAGGGTGTTCTGGCTCTTAGCCCTGCACCCAGTCCCATTGTGTCCCTCTCAAACACTGCCCACGTGCTGTCTTGGCACYGCAGTTGCTGACACCAGGGCTGGGGCACTTAAATGTCTCTGCAAAGATATGCCAGGACCCACTTCTGTGCAGATGAGCCCTCAGAGTCAGAGAGAACTAATTCCTTGATAATCTCYTCCCACATCACTGCTCCCCCTCCCAAACTGCTGTGCTGAGCAGAGCTTAGGCACAGGGGAAAATCATTCCCAGTGTTTTTAATGCTAGTAAAGCTCATACAATATTATTTACAAAATTCTTCTAGTTGGAAAAATGACTCCATACTAATGTCATGGCAGGATTTCATGTTTATTGTCTCTCAGTGATTACCATGACAAATCTGCTAATTTGCCAAGTAGAGAGATATTTGTTTGTTTTCAGATGGCAACCCTGCAAACCCAGCCTGGAATCTGAAAAGCAAGCTGGGGCTTCTCTGGCTCCTGTATCCCCAGCAGTGGAGACTCCGCACTCAGATCTTAATCAACACTTTTGGTGACAGTGCAAAAGCCAAAACAGACTCCCTTCTCTCTGAGCTCAGCTGAACCTGCAAAGCTAAAATACATGGGATACCTATTTTAGTCTGGTAAAAGCTGATGTAAGTGTGTGAGGCAGGAGCTGCATGGGGGGAAATGGCAAKCTTCTGCAGTCACTCTCAGGGCAGAGTAACAGTCTGGGCTGTCTGCATAATCCCTTCTCTGAGGTCAGGTTCTGTCTAACTCTTGGGTTTGGACAGAGAAAGGGTTGAGATTGGAGAGTATGAGGGTGTGCTGAAAGGTGAAGAGGAAAGGCTGGAAGAGCAGAGGATGAGTTATGTGAGCAAAATCAGGAGAGGGAAGGAGAAGGATTGTGGAGATATATGGAAAAGCAGGAAGACAGGGGAAAGGGGAAGAAGCTGAAAGAAGTGCAAGTGATGGTGGCAAGGAGAAGGAGGTATCTGCTTTAAGTGTGGAGCTTTTGCAAAGAGCAGCACAGAGAATTTCCTCTGGTCCCAGACTTGGGTCACAAAACAGGTAGCTAATCATGTCACATTAACTCCTCTCTCAGTTTCTGTTGCCTGAGCCCCAATTCTCCAGTGCTGGRAGAATGAAAAGATCTCAGTAAGTTTGCCCTGACAGGAGGGAGGAAGTGGGCGACAGTGAAGGGAGTGAGTGGACCTGGACGAAGAGAAAAAAAGGGATGTGGGSAACCTGCAGATTTGTAGGGTACAGAAACCTACAGAATCCCCCACCTCTACCTGTAGGACAGGCAAAASATCCCCCATACCTGCAGTGAAATCCGTCTCCTCTGTCTCATTAAAACACATGCCCTGCACAACAGATAGCCGTATTCTATCACCACCAAGTCGGTTATGGGGCATTTTCCAAAGCCTAATGCATTAGGAATATGGCTATGGCTGGAACCTGGAGTGGGTCCCAGCTTCTATGTCAGGTGAAGCAATGTCTTTTGAAAAGGCTTGCTGTAGCCTCCAAAGAAGGCTAATTGCCCCTCTTTCCCATTTCCATACCACACCTCCACACAGATGGCTATCCAAATAAGATCATGTCCTCCCATCCCAGGAGCCCTGGAGGAGGAACACGCTCCTCATCTCCAAGCAAGGAGTCCTTACCTGAGAAGAACTGGCTGATGGAGTGAGGCAGAAGAGTGAGGAAGGCCAGTGGGTCCGCAAAGGACATGGAAAGTGTAGCAGAAATGTAAGCCATGCCTGCCACCAGGGAGTGAAGGCAAGCCAGGGAGGTGTAGAGGCAGAACATGATGAAGTTTCGCATGTTCCTGCTCCCGATGCAGTTCCCTGTGAAGAAACAGTGGTGGTCATGCCTCTGGGTGACTCTGGCACACAGTCTACAGAAGTGAGTGCCGGGCAAGGCTGAGCCAGGGGACCTGCTTCCATCCAGCCAGTCTGCCACTTCGGCTCCTTTGTCCAAGTTTAAGTCCTTGCCCAAGTCCTCGGGGGAGTTCTGGATCACAAGGACGTAGTTGCCCAGGGCATTAGCTGAGAGGAAGAGGAAGAGGGCCCCATGCAGCAGAGCAGGTGAGAAAAGTGGGGTGGTGGAAGGGTCTCTGAACATGCTGGGGATGAAGACAAAGATCTGGAGGACGAAGGTCACTAGGGAGATGCACAAGAAGTAGGCTGGAGCGACAACATTGAGCAACCTGAGAACTAGCATTGCGGATTAGGTTCCTGCAGGGGAAAGCAAGGAGAGAAGGAACATCACCRCTCCGGCTGCACACTTCATCCTTCCATTTCCTGCCGGGTCCCGGCCCCGCTGCCTTCGGGAAATGCCCTCCGGGGGCCGCTCTCCCTCGCCGCCGCCCTCCGGCCCCCTCCGGACCGGGGCAAAGGGACAGCCCGCKAGCAGCGACCGCTCCCCGGTTCCCGGAGGAGACACCCCGGCACTGGCGCCAGCCTCCGGGGAACTTGCAGCAGCGGTGCCCCGGAGGGGCTGCAGCGGCTGGAAGGGGAGAGGCGGCTCCCGCGGTGTGCTGGCGATGTGAGCACTGCTCTGCTCGCCTAGCAGAGTCTCTCYGCCAGGCAGGGTCAGTTTTGGTATTGCATGAGAGGAAAAAAGGTGGTGCTGGAGGAGGGGGGAGTGAATTGGAAAGGAGGGGTGGGAGGAGGAGAAGGGGAGGGGGGAGAGGTTGCTCTAATCCACTGCAATACGGATCAAATCCAATGCTCTAATTTATCCCTTAAAGCCACGGATCTACAGATTACCTCTATGACCGCTGCCCTGTTCTGCACGAAATTAGAAAATATACAAAACAGCTGGTCAAGTGCTGTCCGGATGCAACCTGCGGCGCTTGGCTACCGAGCCGGGGCAGCCCCGCAGCTGCAGCCGCAGCTCCGGCCGGGCCCGGCGCATCCCCGCCGGAYGGGCAGGTACCCCCAGCCCCGGGGCTCAGCCCGCATCGTCAGGGCACAGGACAGCCCGGAGGGACACACGCGGCGGGCAGCGAGCCGGGTGGCGGTGTGGGTGCCCCCGCACACCGAGCACACCCACGCCGGCAGCCCCAAGGACTCCCCAGAGCCGGTGTCTGCAGAGCCCCGGCGGCCCCGGACCCGCCTCGGCCCCGCGGCGCTGCGGGCTACACGCTGCCACCTTGCAGTCCCCTTGTCCCCGGGCGCGGCGGGTGCCGCCCGGTTCCGGCGTGTCTGGCGCCGGCGGAGCCGCTGCTGCAGCCGGCCATGCCGAGATGCCCACGGCAGCATAGCCGGAGCCAGCSCGGAGTCTGCGAGTCTGCCCTGTGCTTTGTCCTCTTCCTCTCCCTTCCTGCTCCTTTCCCGTCCCTCTTCTCTCCGCCCCTGTGCCCCGTGTCCCCCTCCGTCCAGTGCCTCGTGTAACTCCCTGTCCCTATCCTTGTCCCTGTGCTTTTCAGCTCCAGACTTTCGCCTTTTTTCTCTCTCCCACTCTGTATCTCCCTTCGCCGTCCTGTTCTGGTCCAGTCTTCTCCCCTCCCGGCTCCCCGCCCCGGCTCGTCCCCACCATAGCTGTCCCTTCAGGACCACCCGCACCTGCTGCAGGTCCTTCCATCTCCTTCCGAGCATGACCTGGGTCAGGGGAAGAGAAAGGTATTCTTGGACCTCTGAGGTCCTGACAAGTCCCACGGGGAGAGCAGAAGTGCGGGAAGAGGCATTCTGCTGCTCCRGCCTGCAGAACACCATTCCTTCCCTCAGTGTGGGTGAGGGAGGCAAGGTGAAGCTTCTGTGTGTCCCCATGCAGCGCCAAAGCTGCCCCTGTTGGAACCAAGAGGATGCAAGGGAAAATTGGGGCGGGGGAGTCTCTTCAGGTTCAAAGCCTCCCTTAACACAAGAGCTGGAAAGGCACTGAGCTGGGCAGGTGGTGCCTGGGCAGCATGACACTCGGTAGAAGTTCTGCAGACATGTGTTTGCTCTCTGATACCTACACACCCTCACCCCCCTCTGCCCACCCACTTTATCCTTGTACTGTCTACAAACGCTCTGTGCACAGCCTCTCCTTCTCCTACAAACCTACGTGCTGCACCCTGCCAGCTCTGATGAACAGCATCCCTATCTCCCTCCACACATGAGCCCCCCGTGACAGGAGAAGGGGAGAGAAAAGGACTATTGGGCTGCAGCTGTGTTCCTGGAGACAGTCAAACTCTGCACTGGTCAAAAGTCAAAGAAAGATGCATTTTACCTAATCTTACATCCTAGGCTTACTGGTCAGCCCCTCAGCACAGCCTCTGCTACTCTGTGAGAGACTCTCCCTTTGCCTGAATGTTCAGAGCAAAATGAAAATGTGTTTCATGTYTCAGTTTCTAGGGAGAGAGGCCTGGAGGATAGAGAGGCTGTGCTTGTCTCCTGCACGTGCAGTAGCATGGAAGGTGATGACAGCAACCAAGTGTCCAAGGGTTCTTTATAAGAAATAACTTTTCTCTCAGATAGCTTCCATGGTTCAACATTTCTGAGAAAAGCAGTGGCAATAAMACAAGCAAGTGCAAACGAAGCCTGTAGGCTCTGGATCTGCAGTGACGAACAGATAAGAGACACCTCTGGCAGAACTGAAGGGGAAGCTGCTCAGAACCGATCTAGTTTTCACTCCCACCTCCCTCATTCTCCTGTCACGACTACTGAGAATAAAAATCCTCCAATATTCCCTCAACTCATCAATTTAAAGTAGACTGAGCCTTGCAATAAAGATACGTGACCTAGTCTAGATTTTATCTTTAAATAATCAGACAGTGTTTTCTCCATATTTTAACAGCTTACATCAAAATAATAATAAAAAAATTACAGAGAAATCTTTTCATGTCATGAAAGACTCCCGACTGAAGGGACTGCATCTCATGAAAGACATTAAGCCTGCCTGCATAGGGAACATCAAAAGCTGTAGCCAAAGC